CGGATTGGCCGAGCCACGCTTCCATCAAGACGAGGCCGAGCGCTCCCATTGGCTGTGCTGCTGGCTCTGCTGCAGGGGGCGGGGCTGAGGGGCTCTTCTCTGTGTTCATGTGACATGACACCATAACAGTACGCCTCCTGATCTCAGGGTACCAAAGAACGATAGTTTCACATCTGTTCTGGTAACTATGGTAACTATGGTAACTATGGTAACTATGGTAACTATGGAATCTATGGTAGCTATGGTAACTATGGTAACTATGGTAGCTATGGTAACTATGGTAGCTATGGTAACGATGGTAACTATGGTAGCTATGGTAACTATGGTAGCTATGGTAACTATGGTAGCTATGGTAACTATGGTAGCTATGGTATCTATGGTAGCTATGGTAACTATGGTATCTATGGTATCTATGGTAACTACGGTAACTATGAGGTGTCACAAGTCAGATGCAAGTCTAAGTTTGTCGCCGATGTTCTCTGTAATTCCAGTCACAAAGCTCCACATCTGCTTCGAGAGTTGACGGGACATTTCTGAGTGGAGTTTGCATGTTCTCTCTTTGTCTGTGTAGGTTTCCTGCAGGTGCTCCGGTTTCACCTACCACTAAACACATGTACAATAGTTCAGGATGAGATGTGTGCTCATTTACACACACCGATCCAACTAAATAAATATCCACAGTCTGTAAACGCTCACGAATGGAGTGATGTCGCATGAACACAGACGTCCTGCAGCTCGGGAGAAAATCGATCTATTTTTGATAAAGATTGTTTTAAACGAGTTATTTTAGGATGTGATAAAGTGGTGCTGAAGTGCTGCAATAAAGTGTCTCTGCTCACACCGCTGTTTGATGTTGAAACAGAATTTATTAACAGTGATTCTGGACGTGGGAAATTACTCAAGTAAAGTTTCCATGGTTTCTATATAAACATAAAACAGAACTTTAAAGTCGGGGTTCGTAGCTTTAACAAAACTTGTAGGAGCCAGAGTTCCACAGGGAGCGGGAATCCTTAGACGACAAAGTTCACATGTTTTTTCCCTGTGACGGCTTAGGTTTTCCCATAACGCTAAAACACACTTTAATTATTATTTTCTTTAACATACAATAGTTCAGGGAGAATGAACAATGCAAATCCGGAGAGGTGTGCTTAGAGACCCAGGACTGAGGCTGTAGACCCAGGACTGAGGCTGTAGACCCAGGACTGAGGCTATAGATCCAGGACTGAGGCTGTAGACCCAGGACTGAGGCTGTAGACCCAGGACTGAGGCTATAGATCCAGGACTGAGGCTGTAGACCCAGGACTGAGGCTGTAGACCCAGGACTGAGGCTGTAGATCCAGGACTGAGGCTGTAGACCCAGGACTGAGGCTGTAGACCCAGGACTGAGGCTGTAGATCCAGGACTGAGGCTGTAAACCCAGGATTGAGACTGTAGACCCAGGACTGAGGCTGTAGACCCAGGACTGAGGCTGTAGACCCAGGACTGAGGCTGTAGACCCAGGACTGAGGCTGTAGATCCAGGACTGAGGCTGTAAACCCAGGATTGAGACTGTAGACCCAGGACTGAGACTGTAGACCCAGGACTGAGGCTGTAGACCCAGGACTGAGGCTGTAGACCCAGGACTGAGGCTGTAGACCCAGGACTGAGGCTGTAGATCCAGGACTGAGGCTGTAGACCCAGGATTGAGACTGTAGACCCAGGACTGAGGCTGTAGACCCAGGACTGAGGCTGTAGACCCACGACTGAGGCTGTAGACCCAGGACTGAGGCTGTAGACCCAGGACTGAGGCTGTAGATCCAGGACTGAGGCTGTAGATCCAGGACTGAAGCTGTAGACCCAGGACTGAGGCTGGACTGGATCTATGGTGTTTTACAGTGTTTTGAATACATTGTAATTTAGCCAGAAAAATAAAACATCCTGGGGTTCAATGGTTGAAATTTCCTTCAAAATAAAACCACTTCCGCCGGAAGCCCCGCCCGTTAGCATTAGCCACATTAGCTCCAGACTCGGGACCCGGACTCGGGACTCTGCAGGAAACAGACAGAAAGTGGGATAGAAAGTGGGATGAAAAGGGCACAACAGTGGATCAAACCCGGATCCGGATCATACGCGGTGTGAACGTGAGCTAGAAGTGTTCCGAGCCCTGGAGATGACAGCTGCGGAGAGAGGCAGCCCACAGCCCGGAGCTTAAACACAGACCACAGACGAAATCACTGCCGAAAACAAGTCACCCACTCCCGGTCAGCTCCTCCCAGACGAGCCGCTGATCCTGGAGCCGTGAGCGGGGACTGTCAGTGCATCTTGGCTCATGACAGTCTGGAGGTGGGAAATGTACACAACAAATATGAGAGAAATGGAACATCAGCCTGTTCCTGCTTTTACACCAGTGTTTACACCAGTGTTTACACCTGTGTTTACACCTGTGTTTACACCTGTGTTTACAGCTGTGTTTACACCAGTGTTTACACCAGTGTTTACACCAGTGTGTTTACACCAGTGTTTACACCAGTGTTTACACCAGTGTTTACACCAGTGTGTTTACACCAGTGTTTACACCAGTGTTTACACCAGTGTTTACACCTGTGTTTACACCTGTGTTTACACCTGTGTTTACACCAGTGTTTACACCAGTGTGTTTACACCAGTGTTTACACCAGTGTTTACACCAGTGTTTACACCAGTGTGTTTACACCAGTGTTTACACCTGTTTACACCAGTGTTTACACCAGTGTTTACACCAGTGTTTACACCAGTGTTTACACCAGTGTTTTACACCAGTGTTTACACCAGTGTTTACACCAGTTTACACCAGTGTTTTACACCCAGTGTTTACACCAGTGTTTACACCAGTGTTTACACCAGTGTTTTTCACCAGTGTTTTTACACCAGTGTTTACACCAGTGTTTACACCAGTGTTTACACCAGTGTTTTTACACCAGTGTTTACACCAGTGTTTACACCAGTGTTTACACCAGTGTTGTTACACCAGTGTTTACACCAGTGTTTACACCAGTGTTTACACCAGTGTTTACACCAGTGTTTTTACACCAGTGTTTACACCAGTGTTTACACCAGTGTTGTTACACCAGTGTTTACACCAGTGTTTACACCAGTGTTTACACCAGTGTTTTTACACCAGTGTTTACACCAGTGTTTACACCAGTGTTTACACCAGTGTTTTTACACCAGTGTTTACACCAGTGTTTACACCAGTGTTTACACCAGTGTTTACACCAGTGTTTACACCAATGTTTACACCAGTGTTTACACCAGTGTTGTTACACCAGTGTTTACACCAGTGTTTACACCAGTGTTGTTACACCAGTGTTTACACCAGTGTTTACACCAGTGTTGTTACACCAGTGTTTACAGCAGTGTTTACACCAGTGTTTTTACACCAGTGTTTACACCAGTGTTTACACCAGTGTTTACACCAATGTTTACACCAGTGTTTACACCAGTGTTGTTACACCAGTGTTTACACCAGTGTTTACACCAGTGTTGTTACACCAGTGTTTACACCAGTGTTGTTACACCAGTGTTTACAGCAGTGTTTACACCAGTGTTTTTACACCAGTGTTTACACCAGTGTTTACACCAGTGTTTACACCAGTGTTTACACCTGTGTTTACACCAGTGTTTACACCAGTGTTGTTACACCAGTGTTGTTACACCAGTGTTTACACCAGTGTTTACACCAGTGTTTACACCAGTGTTTACACCAGTGTTGTTACACCAGTGTTTACACCAGTGTTTACACCAGTGTTTACACCAGTGTTTACACCAGTGTTGTTACACCAGTGTTTACACCAGTGTTTACACCAGTGTTTACACCAGTGTTTACACCAGTGTTGTTACACCTGTGTTTACACCAGTGTTTACAGCTGTGTTTACACCAGTGTTTACACCAGTGTTTACACCAGTGTTTACAGCTGTGTTTACACCAGTGTTTACACCTGTGTTTACAGCTGTGTTTACAGCTGTGTTTACACCAGTGTTTACACCAGTGTTTACACCAGTGTTGTTACACCTGTGTTTACACCAGTGTTTACACCAGTGTTTACACCAGTGTTGTTACACCTGTGTTTACACCAGTGTTTACAGCTGTGTTTACACCAGTGTTTACACCAGTGTTTACACCAGTGTTTACAGCTGTGTTTACAGCTGTGTTTACACCAGTGTTTACACCAGTGTTTACACCAGTGTTTACACCAGTGTTTACAGCTGTGTTTACAGCTGTGTTTACACCAGTGTTTACACCAGTGTTTACACCTGTGTTTACAGCTGTGTTTACACCAGTGTTTACAGCTGTGTTTACAGCTGTGTTTACACCAGTGTTTACACCAGTGTTTACACCAGTGTTTACAGCTGTGTTTACAGCTGTGTTTACACCAGTGTTTACACCAGTGTTTACACCTGTGTTTACAGCTGTGTTTACACCAGTGTTTACACCAGTGTTTACAGCTGTGTTTACAGCTGTGTTTACACCAGTGTTTACACCAGTGTTTACACCAGTGTTTACACCTGTGTTTACACCAGTGTTTACACCAGTGTTTACACCTGTGTTTACAGCTGTGTTTACACCAGTGTTTACAGCTGTGTTTACACCAGTGTTTACACCAGTGTTTACAGCTGTGTTTACAGCTGTATCAAACTAAAGCAGCTGTAGCACATCAGGAGGAGATCACACCTGTTTAACACTAAAGCCACATTCCTGAACATCTGTGTGTTTACCAGTTATTACACATGCTGCAAATCAATATTTTGCTCTAAATAAAGAGAATTACACAGAAGTTTAGGCACATATGTCATAACTTTAACATATTGTGGGTTTTTTGTTAAAAATAGGTGTGTTTTCATCCATCTCGCCCACTGCTCTGTTTCCTTTGGGAGCGGCGTTAGCATTAGCATTAGCATTAGCCTCTGTTATGTCCTGCTGTTTTGGGGACACTCCGCTGATGGGACAGGGGGGGCACCCAGCTAGAGGACAGGGGGACACCCGGACAGGAGGACACAGCTCTTGGGAGAAACTCTAAACTCGTTGCACATTCATACTTCGCGTGATTTGGTGAAAGTTGACTGTTGTCCCGTTAGCATGAAGCTAGCCCCTGCTGTTTCCTATGACAGCGGCGTTAGCTTCAGCCTCTGATGGAATGTGAGTGAAAACACGCAGCATACTTTGACTTGAACCTGTTTAAAGCTGTTTAAAGAGACATATTCTGCTGTTGTTCATGTGGTGAGCGCTGAGCTCTGTCTCCCATAGGTCAGTATGGTACATTTTGTTCGTTATAAGCCACAATAGTGTCAAATATATGAATGTTTTTGGCCATTAAACATGATGTGAATTTTTGCTTTGTCATTTCATGTTTTGTGATGTGATCTAATATAGTAGATAATATGTGGTGGAATTAGGGCTGGGCGATATGGCAAAACAGAAAAATCTCGATTTTATTTCCTGCTTCGGACGATTTCCATTTTAAATCGATTTTCATTCAAGTCACCAAAGACAGACTTTGCCCTTAAACACATTTTTGATCTTTCCGCTCAATATTCAAGTTTCATAATTTTAATTTGTTTCCCCCAATACGTATTATAAAAGTCTTGTACAGACTGTGCTGATATTGGAAGTATAATGTGCTGCTGGAACTCTCAAAATATCCGTCATTCGATTTCACAATTCTCAAATTTTTCACAACTACGATTTTGTTCAAAAGCCGATTAATTGCCTAAATTCGATTTATTGCCCAGCCCTAGGTGGAACACGTATGACAGGTAAACATGTTTTCTGCCTGTAACTCCCTATACTGCCACCAGAGGGAGCAGCAGAATTAGTCTTTTTCCTCATTCTAAAATTACCGGCTGCGAACACAGACATGCGGTTCTTAAGACGCATAAATTAAAGTCTGTGGTATTTAAAGGGATATTGTTGAAAGATTTTTTTAACACATGGAATCTCTTTAGCAACCACCTTAGCAACAAGTGCCCAAAACAACAAATGCCCAAATAAGGAAACTGGCCCCTAAGCTTAGGTTCTAATTGTCCTCTTCTGTATTAAGGCCAACACTGCGGTGATGTCACACTGCGGTGATGTCACACTGCAGTGATGTCACACTGCAGTGATGTCACACACTTACGCTCTGGTGCTGGTTTATGCGTGTTGGCAGAGGTCACATGTCGCAGGTGGGAGGGGCCTGGTCACATGGTCTGTGGCGCAAATTCACAATGTAAAACAGATGCACAATCAATGTTTACACAAATATCAAAAAGTTAAGACAAGGGCCCTGTAGAAAAAGGTCATGTATTTCTATAGGGTCTCTCTTTCTAGTCTCTGGTCTCTCTATGGTATCTCTATGGTCTCTCTCTGGTCTCTGGTCTTTGTAACTGATGTCTCTCCCACAGAACCATGTGTCGCGGTCTCCACCTCAGATCTTAGAAGGCGTCCACACTTGGTCCAGATGGACTGATGTGACGACTCCGGGGGTCCCTCAGAGAACGTTGTGCTGACCGTCCCCTCCGCCCTGACCCCAGGCCCCTGAGTGTGGAGGCCCCTGAGTGTGGAGGCCCCTGAGTGTGGAGGCCCCTGAGTGTGGAGGCCCCTGAGTGTGGAGGCCCCTGAGTGTGGAGGCCCCTGAGTGTGAGAGCGATGGGATTCGGCAGAGACCTGAGGAACTCCCACGAGGGTCTGCTGAAGCTGCAGGACTGGGAACTGAAGGTCTGTGTGTCCTCTTGTACTCCTCTGGTCTCACCTGGTCTCACCTGGTCTCACCTGGTTCTTTGTCCTCAGCTCCTGGACACAGTGAAGAGGTTCATGTCGCAGCGAGTGAAAAGTGACAAAGAATATTCTGCTCTTTTACTGAGTCTGAGTCAACAGCAGCAAGAGTCTGAGTACATCAGCACCGTGAGCAAGGTACAGGCACACAGGTACACAGGTACTACAGGTACTACAGGTACTACAGAGTCTACAGGTACTACAGAGTCTGAGTACAGCAGCACCATGAGCAAGGTACAGGCACACAGGTACACAGGTACTACTGGTACTATAGAGTCTGAGTACAGCAGCACCGTGAGCAAGGTACAGGCACACAGGTACACGGGTACTACAGGTACTATAGAGTCTGAGTACAGCAGCACCGTGAGCAAGGTACAGGCACACAGGTACACAGGTACTACAGGTACTATAGAGTCTGAGTACAGCAGCACCATGAGCAAGGTACAGGCACACAGGTACACAGGTACTACAGGTACTATAGAGTCTGAGTACAGCAGCACCATGAGCAAGGTACAGGCACACAGGTACACAGGTACTACAGGTACTATAGAGTCTGAGTACAGCAGCACCGTGAGCAAGGTACAGGCACACAGGTACACAGGTACTACAGGTACTATAGAGTCTGAGTACAGCAGCACTGTGAGCAAGGTACAGGCACACAGGTACACAGGTACTACAGGTACTATAGAGTCTGAGTACAGCAGCACCGTGAGCAAGGTACAGGTACACAG